TTAGGACTGGTGGGGAGGAAATGGGAGGAAGGTGGGGAGCACGGGGCAGGGGGGGCTGGGATGGGAGAAATACACAAAAAACTGTACTTGAAAAATACAAAATAAAATTAGAAAATAAATAAATAAAATTAAAAAAAAAGTCTCAGCTTGAAAAACTAAAAAATGTAGATAATAAACATATATATGAAACGCCAGGCAGTATGAGTTGTGAACTTGCACAAGGTAAGATGATAGAAAAGGGTGATTAGGGAAGGCCTTTCTTTTTTTTCTAATTCTTCTTTTTTTAAAATATATTTTATTAATTATGTCATTACAGTTCTATTTCCCCCCTTCATTCCCTTCCACCCTATGCATCCCCTCCCCCACCATTCCCCCCTTTAGTTTATGACCACGTGTCTCAAGTTCTTTAGATTCTATATCTCCCCTACTATTCTTGCCCCCCCCTAATCTATTTTCTACCTACCATGTATGCTACTTATTTTCTGAATCTTCTCCCCCCTTCTCCTTCTCCCACTCCCCTGTTGCTAACCCTCCATGTGATCTTCATTTCTATGGTTCTGCTCCTGATCTAGCTGTCCTCTTAATTTGCTTTTGTTTTAGGTGTGGTTCTTAATAACTATGAGTTTGCTGTCCTTTCATTGTTCATCTTTTTTATCTTGTTTTTCTTAGGTAAGTCCCTTTAACATTTTATATAAGGGCTTGGTGATGATGAACTCCTTGAATTTGACCTTATCTGAGAAACTTTATCTGTCCTTCCATTCTAAATGGAAGTTTTGCTGGATAGAGTAATCTTGGTTGTAGGTATTTGGATTTCATGACTTGGAATACCTTTTTCCAGCCCCTTCTTGCCTGTAAGGTCTCTTTTGAGAAATCAGCTGACAGTCTGATGGGAACTCCTTTGTACAGGTGACTGTCCCCTTATCTCTTGCTGCTTCTAGGATTCTCTTCTTCATTTTAATCCTGGCTAATGTAATTATGATATGCCTTGGTGTGTTCCTTCTTGGGTCCAACTTCTTTGGGACTCTCTGAGCTTCCTGGATTTCCTGGAAGTCTATTTCCTTTGCCAGATTGGGGAAATTCTCCTTTATTATTTGTTCAAATAAGTTTTCCACTGGTGACTGTTCCTTTCCCCTTTCTGGTACCCCTATAATTCGGATGTTGGAGCATTTAAAGATGTCCTGGAGGTTCCTAAGTCTCTCCTCTTTTTTTTGAATTGTTTTTTCATATTTTCCTGTTTGGCCATTTTCTTCCTTCTGGTTCACTCCCTTGATTTGAGTCCCAGTGTCCTTTTCATCACTATTGGTTTCCTGTGCAATTCCCTTCATTTCAATTAGTTTAGCCTTCATATGTTCCTCTAATTTGTGACTATAATCAACCAGTTCTGTGAGCATCCTGATCACCAGTGTTTTGAACTGTGCATCTGAAGGTTTGGCTATTTCTTGATCAATTAGATTTTTGGGCTCTGGGGCTTTGAGATCTTCTTGAGCTATTTTTGGTCTGTTCGCACCTGTTAATTATGAGGAACAGAGCTTTAGGTGCTCACCAGGGCGGGGCCGCTAAGTTGTGATGCTCTATGTGGGGGCGGGGTCAGAGCGGGAAATGGCGGCCCCTTCTGCTGCCCCTCACTGCTGGGGCCTGCTCCATCCCGTGGTCTCACCGCTCACTCCCTCTCTGGTCTATGTGCACACAAATGCGGGACCACAGTCAACCTGCTGCCCTGCACCCTCTCTGGGTCCGCCGGTCACTCACTGGGTCCACCCTTGCAACCCCACGCCTGGGATCCACGTGCATGAGTCCGCCTGACCGAGTTTTCCTGTGCAACCCTATTCTGCCAGCTGCTGGCTTCTCCCCTCTTATCAGTTAGGCTGAAGAATTTGTTATCAGACTTCCTAAAAGTTCAATTTTCTGTGTTCCGACTGTGTTTTCTGTTGCTAACATTTGGTTGTCTCTAAACTTGGCTGTGGGAGAAAGCACGGCGTCTCTACCTATGCCTCCATCTTGGCAGAAGTCGGGAAGGCCTTTCTAATGAGGTAACATTTAAGCAAAGACTAAAGGATATGAGCCATTTAGGTATCAAGGGGGAAAGTATTCCAGGCAAAAAAACTGGTGTAAAGACCCGAGACAGCAGGGAGCTCAATCTGTTTGAATAACACAGTAAGGCCAGTGTGACTGAAGCAGGGTTAGCAAAAGGGGGAAACAGGAAATGAGCATAGAGAAATGGCAAGAGATTAGGTTAGGTACTGGAGCTGTCCAACAGAACTCTGCAGTAACAGAAATGATCTTCATGGCAAGTGCTTGCCACATGTGACTAGGGAAAACAAGAAAAGTGGCTAGAGTGATAGAGAAACTGAATTTTTAATTTTATTTACTTTCTTTCAAAAAATGTTTTATTATGTTATTACAGTTGTCTCATTTCCCTTTCATTCTCCACCTTGCACACCTTCTCCCACACCCCCCCTTTTAGTTCATGTCCATGTATCTTAAGTTCTTTAGCTTTTACATGTCTTATACTATTCTTGCCCTCCCCATGTCTATTTTCTGCCTGCCATCTATGCTACTTATTCTCTGTACCTTCCCCTCCTCCTCCTCCCACACCCCTGTTGCTAACCCTCCATGTGATCTGCATTTTAGTGGTTCTGTTCCTGTTCTAGTTATTTCCTTAATTTTAGGTGTGGTTGTTAGTAATTGTGAGTTTGCTGTCATTTTAGTATAAATGTTTTTTATCTTCTTTTTCTTAGATAAATCCCTTTAACATTTCATAAAATAAGGGCTTGGTGATGATGAACTCCTTGAACTTGATCTTATCTGAGAAGAACTTTGCCTGTCCTTCCATTCTAAATGAAAACTTTGCTGGATAGAGCAATCTTGGTTGTCTTTGGTTTTCATGAGTTGGAATACTTCTTTCCAGCCTCTTCTTGCCTGTAAGGTCTCTTTTGAGAAATCAGCTGAGTCTGATGGGAACTCCTTTGTAGGTGACTGTCTCCTTTCCTCTTGCTACTTTTAAGATTCTCTCCTTATCTTTCATCTTGGGTAATGTAATTAGGATGTGCCTTGGTGTGTTCCTCCTTGGGTCCACCTTCTTTGGGACTCTCTGAGCTTCCTGGATTTCCTGGAAGTCTATTTCCTTTGCCAGATTGGGGAAATTCTCCTTTATTATTGGGTCAAAGAACTTTTCCACTGGTTGCTGTTCCTCTTCCCATTCTGGTACCTCTATAATTCGGATGTTGGAACATTTAAAGATGTCCTGGAGGTTCCTAAGACTCTCCTCATTTTTTTGAATTCTTGTTTCTTCATTCTGTTCTGGTTGAATGTTTCTTTCTTCCTTCTGGTCTACTCCATTGATTTGAGTCCCAGTTTCCTTCCAATCACAATTGGTTCCCTGTGCATTTCCCTTTATTTCACTTAGTTTAGCATTCATTTGTTCATCTAATTTGTGACTAAAATCAACTAGTTCTGTGAGCATCCTGGTCACCAGTGTTTTGAACTGTGCATCTGATGGGTTGGTTATCTCTTGGTGGCTTAGAAGTATTGGCTCTGGGGCTATGAGCTGATTTTTTGCTTGAGCCATAATGTTTTGGTTTGTTCGCACCGTTATGTTTGAGGGTCGGAGCCTTAGGTGTTCACCAGGGCGGGGCAACCCAAGTCGCTGGGTTGAGACCCTGTATATGGGGGCGGGTCTGAGAGGGGAAAAAATGGCCCTTTGCGGGGCTCTCCCTTGCACCTTAGTCCCTTCCACCGCTTCCCCCAAGCGAACTAGGCCTTTCTGGTGCTGATTTCTGTGTGGGTGGGCTTGTATGTGTTCTAGGACCCTGTGGGTTTCTCCAACAAACTTTCCTGTGGGGGTAGGAGTCTCACCCTGTGCCTCAACCCCAAGTATTTTCAATCAGTGTTTTGAGACTTTATTTCCTGGCACTAGGACCCTGGGTTGTGCGATCTGTCTTGCTCCCCAGTTATCTGGGCACGAATGTGGGACCAATACCCAGTCAGCCAGCCACCTTGCACACGGTGCCCCGCTTCTCAATCCCCACCTCACTGGGTCTGCCAGCCACCACCTCAGTGCCCAGGGTCTGCCCAGTGCCACCTCGCGCACCTGGGGTGCCTTGTGCGCCCAGTGTCACCGCTTCCTGTGCTGTGTCCCCTCTCTGCTCGGCCGTCCGACTCCATCCCGCCTACCGGTCTGGATGAATGTGTCTATTTTAACTCCTTGGTTGTTGGACTCCCATACAGTTCAATTTTCCTTCAGTTTTGGTTGTTACCTTGTTTCCAAATTGTTGTCCTTATTTTGGTTGTTCAGGGAGGCACAGTGTGCCTACCTACGCCTCCATCTTGGCCAGAAGTTCTCTAATTTTATTTACTTTTAACAAATGAGTCAAAATTTAAATAGCTACATGTGGCCAGTGGTTACTGTATCAGTGCAGGGCCTGATAGGCCATGGTAAGAGCTATGAATTCACTTTGAATAAGATGGGAAGCCTCTAGCGGATTTTTTGAGGGGAGAAATGATGTGACTTGATTTAGGTTTAAAGGATCATTGATGGTGCTACTTGCAAATAGAGTACCAAGTGTTTGTGGGGAAGGGGTGGTACAAGAGTAGAATCAGGTGCTTAAGAGATGACAGTGTTTGGACTACAGTGGTGGCAGTTGGACGCAGAATATATTTTGATATATACACAATTTATATGTAGATGTCCCTGGTTGAAATGTCAAACAATGAAATAAACCTACAATATTCACATGCTTAAATGTTTTCTCCAATGTTATCTGAATTGAGACTGTAAACACTCAAGGTATATGTCCCAGTTCCTTTCTATATAATCATTAAATGATGGTAACACCTCTGAAATTTTATGAGATTTTTTTTCACTATCCTGATCTTTCTAAACTGTACATACAGTAAGAAGATCAGAAATGACTTTTGACTCCAAATTCTTAATGATACTTCATATTGTCTCATTACATTTTATTTCAATAAATTAAAAAAGGCAAATATAACATACTAACCTTAATAAAAATGGATCTTAACTGAAGAGCCACTAGCTTCTTTGAAGGCAATGAATATACTGCAAAGAAAATGAAATCATACAATAGTTAAAATGAAGGAGTTAGAGAAATAAAATAATTAGCAACCCAAGTGCCCATCAGTAGACTAATGGATAAAAAAAGTTGTGGTACATATATACAAAGGAATATTCCTTGGTCATAAAAATGAACAAAACCTTACCATTTGAGACAACATGGATGAACCTACAGATTATAGTAAATGAAGTCAGACACAGAAAGATAAATACTATATGATTTCACCTATAAATAGACTCAAAAAGTCTATTTATAGATTCTAAAGAGCAAAATAAACAAAATAGAAACAGACTCATAGGTAAAGAGAGCAGACTGATGATTGCCAGGGGGGAGAGGGTTGGGGGCCTAGGCCAAAGTGAAGAGATTAAGAACTACAAATTGGTAGTCACAAAACAGTTCCAGGGATGTAAACAGCATAGGGAATATAGTCAATAATATGATAGTAACTATGTATAGTGCCAAGTAGGTCCTGGAAATACTGGTGGAACCACTTTGTAAAGTACATGATTAACCACTATGCTGTTTACCTGAAAGTATTAGAAAAAAACATTGAATGTAAACTGTAACTGAAAAATAAAAAAATTAAAAAACCAAAAATTAACACTGAATTTTAACTTTTGTGTCTAAGTATTTTAATTAAAATATAGAAGATGTGTGCTACATCATTTGCTTAAAGTAAAGCATTTTAGAAATACCTTAAAAGGTACTTGTAGGCTTTAGAGAACACATTCACTTCTGAAAAATTAACGGTAAGAAAATATCAAAAATTATTTTTGACTTTGATTATAAAATCAAGGAAGTATTCCCCCAGAAATTTCTGGTATTATCACAAATAAAAAAAATTCTTAAGAATGTTTTCAGTTTCTGATACTCTCCCTTCTCTCTAGAGAATAGCAATACTAACTGGGGTTAATAGAATAAAATGAAGGAAAATGTTAGCCATATAATAAATCCCTGGAGTTTAAGTACATTTGTGTTTCTTAGGAGTTTTTGAAAGTTCTTATGTAACATGCAAAAAATTCTGTGAGTCAGTGTGTGTGTTTTTCTGGGAAAAAGACTCATAATTTCCATCAGAATCTACAAAGGACCCACTTTATTGATGACTAAAATATTCATGTCAACTTCATCTCCAGTAATGAAAACCTCTGATATTAACCAGAGACAAAATATACCGTCTCTAAGGACATATGATTAGGTCATTGTGCTAAGAGGTAAGCTTTTACTTACTATAAAAAGATTAACCCTAGACTTGTGCAAATTCTTTGGCAGACCATTCCTCTTCTGTTATAGGTCTTTTGGGGACTGTCTCATTAGACTGGTGTGGGGTGTGGTGTGATTGGGGACTTGCAACAAAAGTCTAGGAACCATTAGGTATGTTCAGGGCAAAGACAACTAAAGCAGAAATTTAGGAATTAGAAAAAAGGGCATAAATTTAGGAAAAAGGGATTCAGGCCTCTAATTCATCTCTGGCATACACATATAGTGCAATGCAACAGACCTACTGGGAAGAAGATATATCTGTAGAAAGTGAGCAGGCTAAGCTTTAAGATGTAAGTTATCCTACCTTCCATATAGCAATACTTAAGTGCTCCATTAGTTTATCACCCAATTCATTTTTGTTAAGATCCCATTTTCTTTTTCCCCCATTTTCCTTCTGATGCGATATGAAAGCAACATCATCCTTAATGTGTTGTCCAAAATTATTTAGCTTTTATCTAATCAAGCTTCAGAACTAACTCCAGTAACAGAAAACAGAGACTAGAGGAACAAGGCAAATGACACCATGAGGAGTAATAAGACAAATGTAGGTGGGACATTCTATAGCGGCAGTCCCCAACCTTTTGGCACCAGGGACTGGTTTCATGGAAGACAATTTTTCCATGGACTAGGGTAGTGTGGGGCTGGGGTGAGGTGGGAGACAGGAGGCAGAACTCCGGTGGTAATGCCAACAGCATCAGGATCGGGTAGGTTGGGGACCCCTGTTCTATAGGACAGTGTGTCCAATTTTCCTTCAATAAATCTGTTTCATAAAGAAGAAGAAAGAGACTACTATTGAGTAAAAGATTTCAAAGATATAACAATCAGATGTACTTTGGGTCCAGGTTTGGGAAAACTAACTTTAAAGTACATTTTGGGGTAAAATTGAGCCAATTTGAACATGGATAGGGTATAGAAAGTTATTTAAAAACTGCCATTGCTAATTTTGTTAAATGTGATGGCATTTTACCTATGTAAAAAATGTTCTTAAAAGATATATATATTTGGGGGTGAAATGTCATACTATCTGTAGTTTATTTCAAAATACTTCATCTTAAATAAAATAAAGTGGATTAAAAAAACTATATCCAACTGACATGCTGCAAATTTGTGTCAGTGGAAAACCAGTGGATCCTTCACTCTAATGCACTGGAGTGAAAGTGCATTAGCAGGGTTGTATGGTGCTTAAGAGCTAGGTCTCAGGGGCCAGAGTGCCTTGATTAGAAGCTCAGTAACATCAATTATTAATCATGTGACCCTAACTTTTCTGTGCAATGGTTTCCTCATCTATAAAACTACCTATGGAGTATGTGTGATAATTAAATGAGTTAACACATGTAAATGTACAGTGTTCAGCTTATAGATAAGAATAAATGATAGTTCTTGTCATTAGAAGTAGAGAAATTCTAGTTCTAATAATCCTGCTGAGGTTGTGGCTGATCTGATACATACCTATCTTAAATACTGTTACATATATCAGTGCAAAGGTTGAAAGTCATAACTAGTTTGAACATCATGACTTAACATTAGCCATATAAACAACCATGTACCCAATATATGTAACAATATTTAAGAAAAGAGTTTGTAGCTCTCAGATCAGTGGTAACCTCCAATGGGTTAAGGAAACAACTAAAATTCCATCTTGTATTAACAAAGCCATCATTCCTGCAGAAATCTCAATATTAAAATTATTTTTTAATGTATTTTATTGATTATGCTATTACAATTGTCCCATTTCCCTTTATTACCCTCCACTCTGCACACCCTTTCCAACCCACATTCCCCCACTTTAGTTCAAGTCCATGGTTTGTACATAGAAGTACTTTGGCTTCTCCATTTCCTGTACTATTCATAACCTTCCCGTCTATTTTCTACCTACCATTTATGCTTATTCTCTGTATCTTTTCCCCCTCTCTCCCCATTCCACTCCCCTGCCAATAACCTTCTATGTGATCTCCATTTCTGATTCTGTTCCTGTTCTAGTTGTTCGCTTGCTTTTTTTTAAGGTTCAATTGTTAATAACTGTGAGTTTGCTGTCACTATACTGTTCATATTTTTTATCTTTTTCTTAGATAAGTCCCTTTAACATTTCATATAATACGGGCTTCGTGATGATGAACTCCTTTAACTTGCCCTTATCTGGGAGGCACTTTATCTGTCTTTCCATTCTAAATGATAGTTGTTTTTTTTAAAAATTTTTATTTATTAATCTTTAGAGGGGAAGGGAAGGAGAGAGGGAGAGAAATATCAGTGTATGGTTGCCTCTCGTGCATCCCCTGCTGGGAACTGGCCTGCAACCCAGGCATGTGCCCTGACTGGGAATCGAACCAGTGACCTTTTGGTTCACAGGCCCGCACTCAATCCACTGAGCTACACCAGCCAGGGCCTAAATGATAGTTTTGCTGGATAGAGTAATACTAGATGTCTGTCCTTGCCTTTCATGACTTCGAATACTTATTCCCAGCCCCTTCTTGTCTGCAAGATTTCTTTTGAGAAATCAGCTGATAGTCTTATGAGAACTCCTGTGTAGGTAACTCTCCTTTTCTCTTGCTGCTTCTAGGATTCTCTCCTTCATTTTAATCTTGGCTAATATAATGATGATGTGCCTTGGTGTGTTCCTTCTTGGGTCCAACTTCTTTGGGACTCTCTGAGCTTCCTGGATTTCCTGGAAGTCTATTTCCTTTGCCAGATTGGGGAAGTTCTCATTTATTATTTGTTCAAATAACTTTTCCACTTGCTCTCTCTCTCTTCCCCTTCTGGTACCCCTATAATTTGGATGTTGGAGTGCTCAAAGATGTCCTGGAGGTTCCTAAGCCTCTCCTCAGTTTTTTGAATTGTTTTTTCATTCTGTTCTGGCTCAATGTTTATTTCTTCCTTCTGCTCCAAACCACTTATTTGAGTGTCAGTTTCCTTCCCATTACTGTTGGTTCCCTGTATATTTTGCTTTATTTCACTTTGGGTAGCCTTCATTTGCTCCTTCACTTTGTGACTGAGCTCAATCAGTTCTGTAAGCATCCTGATTACGTATTTCGAACTGTGCACCTGATAGGCTGGCTATCTCTTTGTTGCTTAGCTGTATTTTTTTCTGGAGTTCTGATCTGTTTTTTCATTTGGACCACTTTTTTCTCTTGGTGTACCTGTTACATAGTAAGGGGTGGAACCTTACTATGGGTAGAGCAACCCTCACCAGGGTAGAGCAACACGCATTGCTGCCTTGTGATGCTGTAAGTGGGCGGGGGGGACGGGGTCCGAGAAGGAACAGGTAAACAGGCTGTTTACCTGTTTTCACTCACTTTTGCCGCTACCCACAATCAAATTGGACCCCTCTGGTGCTGATTCCAGGGTGGGTGGGTTTGTGTATGTTCTAGGACCCTGTGGTTCTCTCCAGTGAACTCTCCTGTGAGTCTGGGAATTTCTCCTGCTGCTGCCTCAATCCCCACAGGTGTTTTCAGTCAGAGGCTTTGAGGCTTTATTTCCCAGTACCAAAATCCTGGGTTTCGCGGTCTGTCTCACTCCCCAGTTGTTCCTCCAGGCTTATCTGCACTCGAATGTGGGACTGCCTAGTCTGCAAGCCACTGCCTCACTGGGTCCACCAGCTGCTGCCTTGTTGCAAGTCCTCTCTGCCTGGCTGCTCATCTCTGCCTCTCCTACCAGCCTGGATAAATGTTTCTTCTTTAACTCTTTGGTTGTCAGACTTCCATACAATTTGATTTTCTGTCAGTTCTGGTTGTTTTTTGTTTTTAAATTTGTTGTCCTTCTTTTGGTTGTGCGTGGAGGCACAGTGTGTCTACCTATGCCTACATCTTGGCTGGAAATCCTAAAACTATTTCTTGAAAGTGTGTTTCATTATCACAAGCTGATGAGATGGTTAATAAGACAAAAAAGAGAAAAGAGCTTCATTTGTCTTTTAATCCACCAATGGTCTTTCAAGGTCCTCTATTACCTCCTGACTTTGACTGTGAAATGGTAAAAGAGGACTGAGAGGCCAACAGAAAAGCTGCGCACCAACTGAAGTAACTGGATGCTCCTGTGCTTCAGGATCAATAGCTTTTCTGTCACTCAGTGAAGTATCACATTATAAACAAACACTGGTCATTGCAATATAAACTATGTTTCCTGATTAAGTCTGATAGTCCAATGAGAAATTATGGAGATCTGTAGCAGGGGAAAGGCCTATACCTACTAGCAGCATTAGGCAACTCAAGCTCTCTGAGCCTTATTGATATCATATTAGCCTTACTGATATCATATTATTATGGATTCTTTAATAATGTGAGAGAATGAGAGTTAGATGAGGTAGCACGTACTAAACACACAAGACTGAGCCCAGTGGAATTCTCTTTTCTCCTTTTCTGGTCTTATTGATGCTTACACATGCCAGTTAGAACAGAAAATAAAACTGAGAATAAAGGGGGAAAGAAAAACCCAGGTTAAAAAATATGAATCTAAAATTCTATTCAAGAATACAAGTACAATCACATCTCTCATAGGAGCTGCCATTTATGAAAGGCTAAGAACTAATACCAGGATATCAGAGAACTAGGATAATGTGACTAGGTCATTAATTCTGCAAAGCTGGCACCAAGAAAATGTTTATAACAAAACAGTGCCTTACAGAATCGACTTGTAATTTAAAACAATTCTATCTTGTAGTAGAATAAAATATGCCAGTTTTACATACCTTCAGCATTTATACTGAGTTCTGTTGAATTTTCTTCTGATGTTGCATATGGATTGTTTCCAACCATCGGCACAAGACAATCGGTATAGAAGTAACCAATCTTAGACATATTCAGTGTAGAAATAATTAGATCTATCGCAAGCTGGCCAACATTTCCAACGGATACTGCTGGCTGAAGTCATTAAAAAATATTTATTAAAGCACCAAAGTTAGCAATACTTTTTAAAAATATTTTTAAAGTTCATTTTAGAGAGAGGGAGGAAAGGAGGAGGAGAGGGAGGGAAGGAGGTAGAGAGGGGTAAGGAGGAGGAAGGGTGGGAGGGAGAGAGAGAGAAACATCAATTTTTGTTGTTCCACTTTTCTATGCGTTCTTTGGTTGGTTCTTGTGTGTGCCCTAATCAAGGTCAAACACGTAACCCCGGCATATTGGGAGGACACTCTAACCAATTAAGTGACCCAGCCAGGGCCTATTAACAGCACTTTTAGAAGTTTACACAGAAGACAATCACAGCACTAGTACTTAATGTTTAGGCTCAGATGTATCACAGCTACATGTTCTTTCATTAATTGCAAATGAGGTGTCAGCAGAGGGCCTCCACCACCTTTGAGACTATTGATTTAACATTTACCGAACACCTACTTTATGTCAATCATTACTCTAGGCACTGGGAATGCAGTAAAACAAATCAACAAAAATTCCTGCCCTGGTAGAGCATCTATTGTAGTGAAAAAGTAGTTTACCTGTAACAAAATAAATACAGAATATATAGTGCTAAGTACCATGGACAAAAATGAGTGATTGTGAGTTTGTGTATGTTTGTTTGGCTGCAATTTTAAATAAGCTGGTAAAAGAAAGAATCACTTCAGGTAATAAGAAACTATAGAACTGAAAGAGGTCAGGAAGAGAGCCACACAAAGACCAGGAACAGAATATTTCAGGCAGTGGGAAAGCAAGTGTAAAGGCTGTGAGGTATGAACAAAAATGCCCTTAGGTCTTCTGTTTGCTTTGTTACTGCCTGAAGGTTGGGGTGAGTTCATTTTCACACTAAAACCAAACACATACACTTATCCCCATAGCTGCAAATAGTGCAACTACCAAATCTCTAGCTACAGCCCAAAACATTTATCTGAACTCCAGAGCCTAATGGACATTTCCCCACAGTTATGTCACAGGTAACTTGCATTCAACATGTACAATATTAAACTTTTGCCCAAACTTGTCCCCATTTTTTGTATTTCAGAAAAGAGCAACAATTATTGAAATAATTACTTAAACCAGGAAACTTCTTCCCTTTTCTTTACCAACCACATCTAACACATGACTAGTTTTCACTGATTTTTTTTTTTTTTTGCCTTTGTCTTATTTTTCTGGGTTCTTCATAGTGGTCTCCCACTTTTCATTGCTTCATCTATTAATCCTCTGGTTATCTCTAAGAATTCTCTCTCCTCTTCACAGAGATTTTGCTACTTTGGTTAGACCCTCAGTCTTTCTGTACCAACCATCTTTTCTTCACTACTGAATTGTTCCCATCAACATATACATATGCTCTCATAGCTTTCCCTCTAAATAACCATCCTTTGATCCCACATAGGCCCCTAGATACTACCTCACTTCTAGGGTGTCCCAAATTCCCCACAGTTGTCCACTAAAACACTGACAGGAATTTTGTTTCTGAATCAATGCATAAATACACACACACACACACACACACACACACACACACACACACACACCTCTTCTCCCATTTATTCAACCCACTCTGACTTCCCTCTTTACCACTCCACTGGAGAATCATCAAGGTTACCACCAATAATCTTTTTGACATTACTTTCTTTATAAAGCTTTCCTTTCTTTTTTCTGCCAGGTATCTCCTGGAAAGACACTCTTTCCTTTTGTGATTAATATTTTTCAGGGAGTTACTTTGAAATTATTTAAAATTTCCTTCCTCAGAACATTATCACACACTAATTTAGCATTCATTGATATTTCTTGCATTCATTATGATGAAAATTGCCAGAAAGTTACTTTTCTGTTATCACTTTTTAAAAAAAATATTTTATTTATATTTAGAGAGAGGGGAAGGGAGGGAGAGAGGGAGGGAAACATCAATGTGTGGTTGCCTCTTGTCTCTCCCAACCAATACTTGGCTCCCAACCCAGGCATATTCCCTGACTGGGAATCGAACCAACAACCCCTTGGTTCAGAGGCCAGCACTCAATCCACTCTTTTAATTGACACTTAACATTGTATTAGTTTTAGATACACAACATAATGATTGATATATGCATACAGGGGTGGGCAAAAGTATGATCACAGTTGTAATACAAATAAATAATACAATAATAAATAATAGTATAAGAATAAGCTGTTAACAACTATACAACTATACAACTAACAACTATAAATCTACTTTTCCCCACCTCATATATTGTGAAATGATTACCAAATGTTTAGTTTTAAGATTCATCACCACAGTTACAGTTTTTTTCCTTGTGATGACAACGTTTAATATGTACTTTGTTAGCAATTTTCAAACATACAATATAGTAGTGTTAACTATAGTTACTATGCTGTACATTACATATCAAGGACTGACTTGTAACTGAAGGTTTGTACCTTGTGACTACCTTCGCGCCACCCACTCCTCCATATCCTTTGCAGCTATGAGTTTGGTGGCATTTTTTTAAGGTTTCACATATGAAGCTTTCGCATTTTTAAGGTTTTACATATGACCTGTTTTCCTAACAGGTCCTTGTATCCCTCACCCTTCCAATAAATCCTAGAGCCTTTTTGTATCTTCTTAAAACTTATGTCCTAGCAGTTATTGCTTTTATTGGTTTGTTACAAGTAGACTGTAAAACTCATTGAGGACAAGGACCTACTCTTATTCTTTTATTTTCACACAACAGGATATTTATTGAAACAATGAATGAACATGGGTAACTGTGTTAGCTACTGGCAAAAACTGCTCTTACTACCCTAACAGGAGTTTTTTTTGGCGAATGACAATGACTTCCTTGTTTAAGAACGACTCTAAAACTAGTTGAAAAACGACTTGTCAGGATAATATGTAAAGTGAATGTCCCGCAAAAGTACGTATAACGTCACCTACAATATCCAAACACATTACGTTGTGTAGCCAACAAAAGCTACAAACTGCAGACTTAGAGGCAAGGTTTGGTGATATCGCCAACAAAATTCTATTTGGACTGCTGCCTCCAGGGACCACCTCCCTTCATTTCAGCGCAGGCTGAAAACCTGAAACGAGTACTCTCCTTCTCCCACGGGCGAATGAAACACCCGGAGTCCGGGGGGCAGCACCCTAGGCGCCGTTTGAGAGGCAGCAGCCCTCAGTCGGGCTGTGGAGACTTCACAAAAGCGGGAACTCACCATCAAGAGAGTGAAACCCGCGAGGTTGAAGACCGATTCTCCGCAGGGAACAAACATGGTCGCACTGAAGCGGGAAGAAAGAGGTATGCCCTTGTCCTGGCAGGAACGAGGTGAGAAAACTATAAATCGCAGGTCCCTGCAATATGTGAGACCTCGAATTCCTATAGCATCGCGCGACGCAGGCGCACTGTGACCTAGCAGAAGGGGTCCTTCCAGTCCCTCAGTGTGAGGTCCTGAGGAGCCTGTCTAGCTATCTGCCGGTCCGGAGGGTAGAAAGATCCGGCGAGGAAGGGAGATATGGGTGCGGATAGCGTATCCAAAGACATTGACAATGGGTTGGGGGGCGCTGAAGTCGCTGAGTGTGGACCCTAAGAGAGGGGGAGCGGCAGGTGGAGGTGATCAGGCAGGGCTGGGGACAGCCCGGAGGCCTAGTTCCTTGTCGTTTCTGGAGAGCGGTTGGGCACCGCGGCTGTCGCGGCCACGGTTCCCCTGAGGTTCCTTCCTCGATGTGGCGCTGCGTCCCTTGGGAGCTGAACTAGGCTAGCGGTCGCGCCGGCTTTGTGCTCAGCAGCGAATAACACTCCTGGGCGGGCCGGCCGAATTGGGGCACCTGAAGCGGAGAGAATAGGCGGCGAGACGCCGGCCCCAGCATGTCGCTGCCTCCGGAGAAAGCCTCCGAGCTGAAGCAGCTCATCCACCAGCAGCTAAGCAAGGTGAGGGACCACGGGCGCTCTTCTACCCGCCCTGTGGTCCCGAGTGTCCAGCCTGTGTCCTTTCTCCCGGCCGACCATGGCACCAGCTTGCCGGGGACTCGAGCAAAGGCTAAGATCTGCTGAGCGCGGGATGGGCAAAACTTCGGGTTTGAAGCCAGGGAGACTCACTAACCTAGATAAAAGAACAAGCCCAGAAGAAAGTGCTAGTAAGAGTCTGAGGTGATGATAGAACGGCAGTAGTATTGTGGCACAGTTGTGAAAATGTAGGGTTTATCTAACGGTTTCTGGAAGTCAAATGAGTGTAAGTTGTGTTTGGAGCAGGTTTATATTCAGAGGTCAGGAATTGGAATTACTTTAATGGTGAAAGTTGGGATGTCATTGATGTTCAACCAAGAAGTCATGCATTGAATTACTAAAAGATTTGTAATCAAAGTATTTGTGATACTTCTGAAAGTATTTGTGATACTTCAGAGCTCAAGAAGAACATTGTGCCTTTGAGATGCTCAACGGAATGCAATAAGATGAAGTAATAAAAGCTACTGTTTATTGTGTACTTGTATGCCAGGCTTTATACTGTTTAGCACTTAATCTTGACAGGGCACTCCTTTTTCCGGATTCATAAAGGGAAAATAAGTCTAGGTCACATCTAATACGTTGAAAGCTGAAGTTCACACTGTTCTTTGATCGCAGCTTATAGGTCTGTGCTCTTTTAATACTACTTTTTCAAAAGATTACTTTGGTGGTTATTTGTGGGGATATTGTAACAAAGGTAGTACATAACCAGTAGGGATTATTTCTAGAATTTGTACAAAAAGTTTTTTATCTTAAATTTTATTGTTTTTTCCTTTTAAAAAGCTACCTTTATTTTCATTGAATTTTGATAACAATTTTACCTTTACTGTTAGCTGGAGAAGCCTTCCTGAATTGAGTCTATGTATGCCTTTGTTTCTTTGGTCAGTGTTTTAGAAAGAAATTTACCAAGTGGCAGTATTTGACTACATTGTAAGATTGTAAGTTGTAATGCAAGTTTTCTACGTAGATGGACGTCCATGGCAGAATAAGAGAAATTCTTGCAGAGACAATACGGGAAGAATTAGCTCCTGATCAACAACAATTATCATCAGAAGATTTGATCAAAGCTCTTAGACGTCGGGGAATCATTGATGATGTGATGAAAGAACTTAATTTTGTTACTGTGAGTAATCCTTTAGGGGGAAGAATTGGAATGTATAAATATATTTGGGGGGCCTCTCCTTTCAGTAAAACCAGTTTAAAATAAGACCACTTTGTCTAGTAATACCTGTGTTTAAAGTACAAGCTAATGTAACAAGTAGGATTATGTATCAATGAAATTGGAGTTCTATATATTTCTCTCTACAATGACAGTTTTTCTTTTGTTGTATTGTTTCCAGGTTTGTAACTTTAAGTATATATTTAGTGAAATTAGCACTTCATAATCTCATTCATTTTTAATAATATTTTCTATAACTTTTAAAGATTAGTCTTAATTTTTAAATAAGCACTTTTGGGACAGTATTCTCTGTAATTAAGAAATTATCAATTTAAGAAAATAACTGCATAAGAACCTTCCAATCTTTTCATACAAATAGGTCAATAGTGGGATGAATGTACAATTTAGTAAGTAGGCCTTCTTTTGAAAGTGAGGCAATAATGAGAAAATGTGACCTCAATACTGGGTAGTATAATGTAAAAATTGGATGGACTTCATAAGACACCAGGGAATAAGTATTTTAACACAGCATCCTTTTTTGGGTTTTTGAGGTTGTAAACCCATTTGGTGTAAAAATTGACCTAATAACAGCTTTTGCTGTGTGAATGTTACTTCCTTATTAAAAATCAGTACATGGTGAAACATAAGCCAAATGTTATATAAGGTTTAGAGAAAGTTTAACCGTATTTCAGGTATTAGGGATTTGTTTTTTAGCATTCTGTGTACACTGCTTTAAGACAGTTTTATTTCTTAATGTTAGACTTTAAGAATAACCAGTTGCATCACCTCTCTTGCAGACTTTTCATTATTTTATGTACAGAAAATAGGGGTCTTTTGAGGGGGCTTTATACTATTTATTTTTGGTTCAGTTCTTAATTCCATTATTGGCATTTTCTTGCTTAACTATAATTTTTGTTTTCTAATTTGTTTTGATTTTTTGTCTGCTTTTCCAGGACAATGTTGATCAAGAACTCCCTCCCTCTCCAAAACAATCAGTTTGTTTTACTGATAGACAATCAACGTTGTTAAAAAAAAGTATGTTATTTTTTTTCAATATTAATTTAGTTGTGGATAGTACTATGGTAGATGTACTTTAGTGTTTGGTATTTGATAGAAAACATTTCAATCCCCCTTCCCCCAAAACGAAATACTTAGATTTTTGTGAATAATCATCCAAAGAACTTAGATTCTGTTTTACATTAAGTATATATCAGAAGATTTAATGTATAGCATAGTGGAAGCAAAAACAGGACCACCTGTTTCTTGTGTTTTAATGCTTTATAAAAATTGTTTAGCTTTGTTTTTTTAGTGTACGGTAATTATCTCACAACACTTTGCTGAGTCAAGGTTATTGTCTGAGTTGGTCTGTGGAGGTGAAGGTGAATGTTGGATGAGCAACTAACAGTAAAGGTATCCTGAACCTTGGCTCTGACTCCTTTTTAGCTGGAGAAAGTAGCCAGAATATAAACTCAGATAAAAGGCTTCATATCATGTATCTTTTCTTCTCTGGGTGCATATGGTCCTGGTATATAGTAATTGTGTTACTTTTTTATTTTTTCCCTAGTATAGTTTTATGAAATATTTTTGTCAAATTGTTATTTCCTGTTGTCTTGATCACATTCCTTAAGTTATTTGGCAGTTTCCTCATATATATTGCTACACTTTACAGCTAATATTGATCCAACACGGAGGTATCTTTACCTTCAGGTTTTGGGTGGAAAAGCTTTCTTGGAACATCTGCAAGAACCTGAGCCTTTACCAGGACAAGTTTGTTCAACCTTTACTTTATGTTTGCATTTTCGAAACCAACGTTTTCGTTCTAAACCTGTTCCATGTGCCTGTGAACCAGATTTTCATGATGGCTTTTTACTTGAAGTACACAGAGAAAGCTTAGGTAAGGATCAATAATGAATTGTCATTTAACTGAGTAAATCTTTGTGAGGTTTTATTATAGAACAACAATAACTTGCTGTAAGGAGAGATTTATAATGGATGAATCATCCTCTTTATCCTTTTGTTTTATTTTTTCCTCCACTGCTCCTTTCTATATAAACTGCTTCTTGCTCTGTTTTCTGCTGATTAATTTTCCCTGAAGATTACTTTTTGACTGTTTAGTGATAAATATTTAAATACATACTAGGTACATGGTGTTATGCTAGGTAAGTACTGGGGATATAATAGAGAATGAGACACAATCCTTCTCATTTATGAAAGATTACTATATTTATGATATATAATTTTTGAAGATCAAAGTTTTTTTCAAAGATTTTTTAAATTTATCTTTAGAGGGGAAGGGAAGGAGAGAAGGAGAGAAATATCAATGTATGGTTGCCTCTCATGAGTCCCCTGCTGGGAACTGGCCTGCAACCCAGGCATGTACCCTGACTGGGAATTGAACCTCGATCGTGTGGTTCACAGGCCCACACTCAATCCACTGAGCTACACCAGCCAGGGCTGAAAATCAAAGTTTAAGTGTGAATCTGTAACTCATATTTGGAACTTTAAAATTATGATATGTGATTCCTGTAATTGTTTTTTTACTATTCCTATGAAGGTATTTTGTACGTTTTTGTCAATGTAGAAATTTTTATATTTGTAAACTTAGCAGAATTGTAGAATTATGCCTTCAGAATTTTAGTACTGCTAAATGCAGTACTAAAATTTATTATTTTCTTCCCTGGAGAAAAATGTGTGTAGAATCCTAATAAAACAGTTAATGGCTTAAATTACTAGCTCCAAGGTGCTAGATCTTTCAGTTTGGGGTAGATAATACAGTTACTATTTCTGGAGTTTTAGTCATAAAAGTAGTTTGGGAATTAACGTTGACATATTTGAATTATTGTAGTAGCTTATAGTTTAGTTATGTACTTTTAATGAGTAGACATATCTTAGAGATCAGAAAGCACTGTTATACATTAATTAACAAAATAACTCATCACAGTTCTTCCAGTCCTCTTAAAAGCTGTGAGAAATTGGACTGTACTTTTATTCCCAGTTTATCACATACTCTCTGAGACATTATCAAATTATTCTATTTGTTTTTGTAAAAGTTTTAATAGTTTTCAATAAAGTATTTTATTTTTGCCTGACTGAATATGTAATGTGGTGTTATTTTTGTTTGTTTCTATTGCTAGGTGATGGAACTAGAATGGCTGATTCTACAACAATGTTATCAATAAGTGATCCAATCCATATGGTGCTAATCAAAACAGATATATTTGGTGAGATCACTTTAGTAGCATCCTATT